CTGAATACCCAACCCCAAATAACAGAATACCTGAGATGTCAGGAAAATATAGATACTTTGCACAATCAAATGATTCTCCCCCATTCTCCCTTTCTGGGTGGGTGGGGGAAAGGTGAGAAGCTGACTTCATTTTACATCACACTTAATTCCTTCATTCTCTCCTGTCTACCTGTTTGCTTCAGCACATATATGAAGAGACAGTATGTGTTGTCATAACAACAGGAAGAATGGATAGTGTGACGTGTTGTGCAGCTGGGCTGTGGTGAGGAGACCAGTGAGCTGAGCTTAAGGCCACACGAGATTTCCCACAGCAATTTAATGTTTTACTCAGGCAATTCTCTGTGCCTTGTCTGAGTCCTCAGTTTCTTTATCTGTAAAATGGGTGATAGACACTTAAGAGTATTGTTGACAGATTTAAATGGCATAATGTATATATGGGACGTAACTTTGTTAATACCCAAAGCCTTTACAACTTCTTGGTACATTTTACTGCAAGCAGAAGTCTCATTGCTTTAAATGAATAAGCCCAAATTGGAAGTAACTGAGTATAGCACACAGCTGGGTGATAGTACCTATGGTCTCCCACAAAAGCATATAGGACTCCTCATATTTCAGTATTTTAAATTCCTTTTTGTGTTAGGAAATCATGAGTCACTTGTCTCCTAGAAATGCAATTTCTTTAGAACCTCAGACTGAATCTAAACTCTTCCATTTACTGACTAAGTGACTTTTGACCCCCATTTCCTAAATTATTGTTTGGATGTGATATTTCTGATGTGTCTGTGAATCAAAATGAGAATATATTGTGCAGAATGTGTAGTTAGTATTCAGAAATCCTATATTAGGAATAGCACTGGTTGGAACCCTCCCAGGTGGTATGGGTGCTGCCATTTGACCTGGACCTGAGCACAGAGGGAGGGTTCATGCCCATTTTCACCTGGGAAACAGCTTCAGACCTGTGCCACTGGACATGACACCAGAAGACTCCCCTCCTCCTTCCTGCTCCAGACTTTCAAGGCAAGATGTTGCTTTGATCTTGGGCCCTCTGCAAAAAGGCCCTCTCCCTTGGCAAGTGAACCTATGACATCTGGACTCGGCAATGGCAACTTTCTGGAGACAACACTGAGAAAAAATATAAATGTTAAGTACTCTAGAGAAGACTTGATGAGGGAAGCCAGGTGTATGCTAGAATCCAGCTGAAGAAAGTTGAAACTGTGCCAGATAGCTTCGCATTTTAGAAATGGAGGGGAAAATGTCACCTTTAGGAGCATCCCTGAAAGTATCTCTACTGCCCTGGTCTTTGTGAGTCAGGGACATCAAGTTCCTGCTGCTGATTGCCTCTGTTTCATTTTCTATGCAAGAATGCGACAAAATTCTATCTTAGAGCTCCCAACCAGGCAAGGCAGGGCTGTGTTTGTCCTTGCTGACCCGGGAGACCAAGAAACCAATTAAAACTCCTTCCTGTCTTTTATCCTCTGGTGGTGGTATCAACGTAGTGATGAAGTTCTGGTCCAGAGCATCCACGGAGTAGGGGCTAGTGATTTCTGACTAGTGTGGATTTGGGCGAGACCACTTACCTTAGTCCAGGTGATCTTTAGCAGGTACTTGAAAGACCTGAAGAAGGAGGGTAGCTTCTGCCACTCAAAATACCCTAAAAGAGGCAGGCTCCTTTCCTTGAGTTCATTGACACATGATGGCTGAAGCTTCTTGAGGACTATAGACCTTTTGCCCAGGAATTTTCCATCACCAAGACATTTGGATGAGTCCACATTTCCACAACCTCCAGTTCAGGGGCAGATCCAGATTTTGTTGGGTATGAAACTTACATAATTTGGGAATACCCTCTTAAAGGCAAAGACTACTTTATTATGAATGCAAAATTAGGCTTGAAGATGAATGTTTATTTGGAATTTATTTGGAGTTGACAACACAAATATAAAAATATTTGGAAAAGTAACAATTTTTTTATACTGGACATGCTTATATAAAAATATTTTTCCTGTTTTTCTGCCAATTCTTTTATAACTTTATTATGTAATTATATAAATTATACACTATACACACACACACACTTTAGTGGAGAGAGACAGTGATCTTAACTGACGGCAGTTTAACCTACTTTTGCAAATTTTACAAAAACATATGACCCTGTGACTGTATTATCCCTGCAAGGGCCCTGTGTAAGCAAGGAGCCCTCACACATGAGCTTTATTAGCTCCCTGATAAGTTTACATATGAAGCCTGCTTCCCTGGACAGTGGCATGGGACGTTGCCCATCACTGCTCATTTAATGTTGAGAAATAACTGGGATTTCAGTCCAGCTCAGTTGCCCCATATTTCCTCAACTTAAAAATCTTGCGAGTTTTGAGTTCCATTCCTTCACATTCCCACCTTCATATAGTAGATGAAAAATAACCAAAGTTTAAGGAGTTTGTCCCTACAAGAGCAGTAGGTTTTGGTTGGACTTCTTCATCCACAGTAGAAAGGGCTTCCCCTAGGTTCTCTAGGGCCATTGTCTACATAAATAATTTGAATCACCCCAGGTCAATATGTCAGCACCATTTTGGCAGCCCACTGTCTCACAGTCCCTTGGAAGAAACACTGCGCCAGCCAGTGGGAGTGATCAGCTTGTCTGGCTGCCCCCTGGGCACTAGGGCCTGGACAGCCTGATAGGCATGAGTCCTGCTGCTCCTTGGAACATCTGATGGATCCCCTGTGAGGGGTGGAGGGTTGGAGCAATCCCTGAAGGGGAGAAATCAGGACTGGGACTGAGGCCTGATGCAGGTCCAAGTCCAGGCATGGGGTTCCCCAGTTGAATGACACTTTGGTCGCTGGTGATTCCTGGATACCAGACAGAGACTTAAGACATTTTGAGGAAGTCACTCCAAAGCATAGGGCCCCATGAGGTGCCTTTGCCAAAGTCTAAGGGCAGCGCTAACAGCCACCCTTTTTCTAACGTAGCAATGACTGAGAAGCATACAGAGTTAGAACCTGCTGGAAAAGCCAAGTTTTCCCTGAAATTGTTCATTTTCATTTTAATTGGTTTTATTTAAATGATTTTCTTAAAGAGTTTGATGATTGAACTGTATTTTAAACAGTACTAAGTATGTTTTGCCTTTGGTGATGAAATGCTTTATTGTTTTGACTCCTGGCCTCTCACCCATGTGTCCTTCCCACCTTCCCAGCCCGGTAGCACCTTCTCTCTTGTCTTCTCCATGTGCTCCTGTTTCTATCCCCCTCACTCCAGTGGTCCACTGTGGTTATTCCTGGATGTTATTTGTTCAAGATCTGAAGGACTGATAACTTCCATGTCCGTTGTCCGGCCTTGTAGGAAATGGGAAAGGTGTTGGCAAATTGAAGCCCTTGGTGGATGAGCAGCTCTGCCCCCCTTGCACTGCTGTTTCCCTCTCTTGCTGACGCTGTCCCTCTCCTTGTCTCTGTCTGACACCCACAGGATAGCGCTTGTTCTCGCATAGGATGTTCTCAGAGCCTGTTTATGAAGAAGGCTCAACAGAACTTAGTGTGGAGAATATAAGATTTAAGGAAGACGTGTGAGTTTCATCTATCTGAAGGGTCGTCGTGTGGAGGAGAAGATGCCTTATTCTTTGAGACCCCAAGCTGTTAAACTGGGTCAGTGGGAAGGAATTTGTGGAAAGCTCAGTCCCAGGGGAAAGTCTCTTTCTTATGGTTGTCTGTGATAGAATGAGCTACTTTTTGGTGACCCCTAAGCGCATACAGTAGGGAATGGATTCTGACATTGTTTGGATTTGGTGTTCAACTGACAAGTTAAAATGAAATGTAAGGAAATGGGGGTAACATACCATGGTTAGATAACATCCTGATAGAGTAAGGGCATGCCTTTTCTTTGGTTTTACCTTCCTCTCCCAAGCCAAGTAGACCGCACTCCTAGACACTGTATTCCGAGTGTTTGACTCTTATATGCAGCATTCACTCTTATATGCTTAGGCCCTTTTTGCTCTGCTGTTACTCCCTGGCAAAGACCCCATTCCATCTGCTGATATTGGCTGACACCTCTCTTCCATAAGTTTCTGGTAGTCATGGCCTCCGCTGATGATCTGTCTAGTCATCACCTTGCCTAGGGCTTAGTTCTTCTGCATGTAGCTCAAGCCAGGAGTCCATATGTATTGATGTGACAGCTAGGTTGTCATTAAGTCCTTATCAATACCTGTAACTGAATCTATGATTCTTGACTTATTTGGTTTGTGGGGGGGGGTCTCAATGTTTGCCTTGATCGACCAGTGGATCCCACTGAGGGAATGAATCATGGCATAATCCCCCCACCATGCCCTTCCTTGGAATTTTCTCTTTCATTCTCTCCTTCATAGAATATTAGTTTCACAACAGATTCTCATCCTCAAATATATTTTGACCTGCCTGGCTTGACTAAATAACTTACTCCATTTGTCTTCTCCTAGCTTTGTTTTCCTTTTCCCCTAATTCAGTACTTTATTGTCACCAGTGAGGCTGCTGAGCAATGCTTAGCTCCACCCCAGGTCCTTAGATCATAACAGGATGCCAATCCCTGCTTGCATCCATGCCATTCCTGTATGTTTTAATGATAAATTGCCTCCTAAAGGAGAAGAGGGGAATCTATTTTTTAATGAGGGCATTGTAAATAATTTCTTGCTTTCATAACTAAAAAAAAAAAAAAACCAAACCAGTTTTATGGATTTACAAATACCCCATGGAAAGAACCATATAGGGAAAAAAAAAGTGTGACAAACACTTAAGTTCATTCTCTCTCAAGTGATTTGGATTCAGTCTTACCTGCCCAGAGAAGAGTTGGGCTGTGTCCCCAGCAGGAGTGAAAAACTAGCCATGCCAGATACCTCACAGCTAAGTGGATTTCAACCCTCCCACATGTCACCTCCTGGGAGCAGACTGGACTTGTCAGGTGTTGTGCTGTGCCTGCCAGTTATAGTCTACGTTCCTTACAAGGCCTTTTGTCTCCCTGGACCCAAATCCTTAACCTTTGTCACATCACTGACTTGGAGTGTCTTCTTGATCACCTGGCAGAAGTGACACCAGCATTGGAGTACCTCAGCCTGCTGGGTAATGTGGCCTGTCCCAACGAGCTGGTCAGCTTAGAAAAGGATGAGGAAGACTACAAGAGATACAGGTGAGTACTGAGGGGTTGGAACACAGTGGGAAAGGGAAAAAGAGCATCTTTTGGGGGGATGATATTATGGGATGCATAGTAGGTGTTTGGTAAGTATCAGTGGACTTCCCGTGGTAATACTAAACTTTAACTTTTTGGTAACCGATAGCCATGGTTTCCCTTCATCAAGGTTACAGGAACCAAGAAACATGAAAAGCTGCTAGGTGGTCTAGGGCGGGGATTGACCAATTTTTTGTAAACAGCTTGGTAATCAATATTTTCAGGCTTTGAAGGTCATCTGGTCTATGTCACAACTCTTCAGCTCTGCTGTTACAGTGCAGAAGTAGCCATAAACAATTTGTAAATGAATAAGCATGGCTATGTTTGTTTCTTTTTAAAGATTTTATTTATTTATTTGACAGAGACAGAGAGCCGGCTGAGGGGCAGGCAGAGAGAGAAGCAGACTCCCTGTTATGCAGAGAGCCCGACGTGGGGCTTGATCCCAGGACCCTGATATCATGACCTGAGCTCAAGGCTGATGCTTAACCGACTGAGCCACCCGGGTGCCCCAGCTGTGGTTCAGTAAAACTTTACTTACAAAAACAAGGAGTAGGCCACATTTGACCCATGGCCTATATTTTGTTTATCCCTACTCTGTGTTGTAAGATTCTCCTGTGGTCAGCCTCAGAGTTGCCTTTTAGAGAGAGAGCACTTCCCACTAAAGTTAGGAAGCTTATGTAGGATCCTGAGAGGAAGTCCCTGAAGGTCTGTAACTTTGTTCCCTAAAGCTATGCCTCGCTGTCCACCATCCGCATGCTTTGATGGGCTCTAAGGAGAAATGCTTTTCTTCCCCTTCTCTGCTACTAAACCATCTCCTTTGAAATATCTGACCCAAACTCACCTCTCTTAGGGAGTCTCCTTCATCTTACCCATTTTACTAAACTCATTTTATATTTTCTTTCTTCATTTTGAATTCTGTGTGCCCTCATTCTCGATTTTTGTTTTGCATATATTTTTAGGTGATCTTTTCAGGTGTGTAACCTCTCTCTTCCTTCTGATATAAGCTCTCATTAACATCCTACCTGAATCAGTGTGGGAAGGGGAGAGGAAAGAAGGATGGAAATGTAAGGCAGGTAAGGCCACTGGACAATAAATTTGGAAGGATTGGGGAAAGAAGATAATTGTTTGAAAGAAACTGGTTCTCTTGGGACTCCTGTAAAAATTTGTGGTGACCCATGGAGGAATGAAGTCAGGAGAGTTCATGTTGTATAAAACAAAGCTGTTAGAAGTACTGAAGGCTATTGAACATTGTATCTTTTTAAAATACATACACATAGACACATAAAGCTACATCAGGAATTCTGTTATGTTTCCTTCTTGGGAAGCATTGTGTACCTTTAACCTAATTTTCTAGATTTCTTGGTTAATGTTGTAGGGGTCTGAGACTATTTTTAAACCATCTTAGAATAAAACTCTAACCCTACTTTTAGAAAAATGTAGTAGGTCTTTCTCCAGTATGAAGATTTTCATTTGGATGTGATCCTGTAGGTTTGAATGTCAATTCTGTTAGGAGAAATATGATTAATATCCAGCAGGTGAAGAGTTACACATTTCTAAATCAACCCTGTAGGTTGCTTAATCACTTAGAACTTAATCTGCTTCTTTAACACTCTTATCAACTCTGAAGCATTTAACAGCCTGATTTCCGATATGAAGGGGTCTCTTAAAACATATTTTATCTTCTTGCAGCAATTTACAAGATGTGTCTTGAAACTGTCAAACAAGTCCAAGAAAGTTCTTTCAGTCAACATTTTTAGTAAGCCAAGCGCGATTTAGGAAATTCTGATTTGTTTTCTGGCTTTTTTCTTAAGATTTCTGTGTTTAATTCTTTTTAAAAAAGAGTTATTTATTTTAACAGAGAGAGCACACACAAGCAGGGAGAGGGGCAGAGAGAGAGGGGGAGAGAGAGAATCTCAAGCAGACTCCCCACTTAGTGGGGAGCCTGATGCAAGGCTCGATCCCTTGACTCTGATATCACGACCTGAGCTGAAATCAAGAGTTGGATACTTAACTGACTGAACCACCCAGGCGCCCCATGTGTTTAATTCTTTAAAATAGCTCAATAAATTTTATGTATGTATGTATATGCCTGCCCATGTCCTATATATGTGTGTGTTTTTATGTATGTGTGTGTCGGCACACACACTGACACATATGTTCGTTCATTCATTCATGGAGCTGTATGTCAGCCAAACTGTAGGCACATTTTTGTTGTCTTTGTTTTCCTAGAATGAGAGAAGTGGAATGATGAAAATCTTCAATTGCATCATATTTTATTCAGTCTCAAATAGAAGACTTAGAAGGTTGCAAAAGGAAAAAAGCTAATACTATCTTTTTTTGTTATTATGACTGTTCACATCAGTAAAAATACTAAGACCCATCAGAAGATCTGAGGTGGGGCCCCGCTTTAAAATGGGGAGGATAGTCTAGATCAGTGACCCTTCACCAAGGCTGAACTCCTGACTCATCCGAAGCATTCTGATTAACTTAGTGGCAAATGCAACAAAAAAGTCAGTAGGTAATTTGGATGCTCACTTGACTATTGGACTAAGTAGTGTTGAAAATCTCTGTTGGCTATAGCCTTCTGAGATACTCTGCCTCCACGCTGTTACAGTTCTTCCTTTACTCTCTCGTGCCATTTTATGTACTCCATCTTGTATATATCTCTCTCACTACTTTATATATGTCGATATCCAGAGAATGGCTTCCAGTAGGTAAGGCTGTGTCTTCTTGCTCTTTGAAGACTCTTCAATATCTAAAGTAACAGTGGCCTTGGAATAGGGGTCAGATAAGTGTTCACTGCAGGCAGCTTGAAAATTGCTTTCTTCTGAGAAGCTGAGCGCTTAGAGAGAGATGTATGGCCCTCTGGGCATCTCAGATGCCTACTTTCTATTTGGAATCCGATCCATTTGATGTCCACAAACACGGTTAACAAGCAAGGGACTATCCTTCAGACTCAATCCAAGTGCTGGTCATTGGGTCCTGATCCTTCAGGGAGGGTTTGGTTCTAGAGGAGTGATTTATCTCTTGGGCTGGTGCTGGTGCCCACTAAGCCTGACCTCACTACTCCAGATCTGTTGGGGTTGAGGGATAGGCCTGGGAAGGTTGTTTGTTCATGCACATATGGCAAAGCTGCCATGAGCAGCTGGATCCTAAGGGCCACACACAGCTGAAATCACATCTAGTCAAAATTACCCTAGAAAATCCATAAGTCACCCACAACAATGGGAAGATGCTCATGCTCCGAGAGAAATAAGAACTAAGAACACTGGAAGGAACATTAAATGTGTGCCCATCCGGTTACACATTCACTGCATGGCTTATGACGGTTGAGTGGAATGGTAGCCTATTCTCTAGCAATTCTAAATTTTTTATTTGTTTTATTTTTTATTTTTTATTTCTTTTTGATGGGCACTCTCACCCTTATATTTGAATGAGATAAATGTATATATAATGTAGTTCTGTTCTCTGGTCTGTAAGCGGCTCTGCTTTGTTCATCTTGGAGTTTGTGCTTCATTTGCCCCTAAGAAATTTTACGGTTTTACAATAAGACTTTTGAATCCAGAGTTCTAGTGTTTGGGTTTCTACAAAGCAATGCAGCCACCTTCTTTTTTTTCCTTTTGGTAAAATATTTTCCTGGCCCTCCATCCACAAAGCATGAGGTCTGCCTTCCTCCTAGCTGTTACCCGGAGCCTGATAGTAGGGCCTCTATGTAAATTTATGTGACATATTCACTAGAAAATTGCTTAAAAAATGAATGATATTTCTACAGTTTACTGTTTTTCACTTTAAGTACATTTTCTGACAATATGTCTTCTATTAATCATTTAAGCAATAGTAGGAGCCTTAAAGGAGTGTATTCAGAAGCAAGAACCCATGGCTCATTTAGTGCTGTCTGAAAAAATTTCTTATTGATTGGCATCCTCTGTGGTTATGTGATGTAATATTTATAATATGTCACCCAGCCATACATCAAAACAAGTACGTCTGTTTCATTTCTGTGGGAGGTGTTGATTTCAGAGAGGTCAGCCCACTTTTAGGTCGCGTTGTGGCCAACCACTGGAGCAGAAGTGAGGAAGTGACTAGATTTATGGAGTTATTGGAAATGGCTTCATAGATGCTTCACTTTCTGCCGATGCCTTCCTCCCATCCCCCAAGTCAACCCTCCTCCTTCCTTCCTTACCCCCTGTGCACACGGTTGGGTTTTCCTGGCACGTATCCCCGTAGTAAAACGGGCTCATTAAATCTGTATGTGAGCATGAACATACTACTGAGTTGTTGAGCGGTGCCCTGGTCCTGCTGGGGCAGGAGCGAACCAGGCTTGGATTTTTTTCTTTGCCATTCATCATGGTTCATGGCTGAGAAATGTCCATTGCCATGTTATTACAGGAGCTTAAACCTGCCCATGCTTTTCTGTGTGTACACACCATGCAACTATTTTGGGATGCATGTTGAATGAAGGTGAATGTGATAACAAGCAGCCTTCAGGATTTGGGTGGGAAGAGAGTGGTGTGGCAGGGCTTGGTTGGCTTGGGAGGCCACCATCCTGCTAAGAAACCACTTGGGGCCTCCTGTGGACTTCAACACTAGCCAAACAATGAGTCAAGTGTGGGAGACCTGGGTGCCCAGAATGGTCTGCTTCTTGTCTTCCTTCGCAATTCTTTTCTTTCTCCTTCCTGCAGGAAAGACAACAGAATGAAAGTCAACAATACTCAAAGAGCTAGACCTGGCTTGTCAAATAAGAGATTTGGTCCTCATGTCTCTCAGCTGTACTTCTGTCACGAAACCCTCTGCCATTCACCCCCTCCTGCCACTCCAGTCGCTTCTTGGCCTCTCCTTCTTCCCACCTCCTCAGTAGGCCCCTCTGTATTTCTTACAACTTTAAATTATTTAAAACGTGACACCCTTTCTTTGTTCCCTCACAGAGAGCAGCCCGAGGCCTGCCCAGTGTCTGCAGCACT